AGTCCTCAGACACACTCAGGAGGGGGAAGATGACTGCAGCTACAGCCCAGGTTTCTGGGCTTGCTGTGGGGTGGGGCTGAACCTCCGCTCCATGTTCTCAGGCCCTCAGGCCTTTCTCCTGGGCACAGGGACCCTGGCCTCTTCCACATCCTTGGCAAGACCCTTGGGCTTTCCTTCCCCTGCTCTGACCCTGGCATCACAGCACCAACATCTTCCACCACCTATGGGACACTCCCTGTATGCTGACACTTTGCCGACCAGGCCATGTGCCTCTTGCCTGATTTCTCAGGAGCTGTTATAATCCCTCTCTGACAGCAGAGAGACGGAGACTCTGAGGGTTGAATGACTTACTCAAAGCCCTACAGGTGGCAAAACCAGGTAAATCTACTTGGTGCTGTGTGTGCTGCCCAGCACCCCTGGGAGGGGGTAAGGAGTGGGGGACTAGAGCTGCAGACTCATCCCACTTTGCCCCCTCAACCATTCCTTTGCAACCTGGGACTCTTGAGGACTGAGGGAGGGCCAGGCCATCCGGATCCTGAGAGGGAACCTTTATTCAACTAGGTAGAGCAGCTGGAGGAGGCCAGGGATTCTCAAACTGAGAAGATGACACCCCAGTGACGCCCTACTCTGACCACAAATGGCAAGCACCTGGATGTCCCTTGTCCCTGCCTTGGCCTGCAGCTGACACCCTGGCCCTCAGGGGCCTTACAGAGGTTGTGGGTCAGAGTGGAGAGCTGACCAGCCTTGGACACTGGGGGGAAGGAGGAAGTGAGAGACTTCTCTAAATTCCTAAGATTTTTCCATTTGTCCCAAAGTACCCATCCTTTCAGTTCCACCTCCCCGCCCCATCAACCTGGCCTCTGGGCAGCTACCCCTGCAAAGGGCTCATTACCTCTGGGTGGGGCACAGCGGGTCTCAGCAGCCCCACATGCTTGATTTAGGCCAAACTCATGCTCAGGGACTGCTGTAGTATTATTGCTTTTCCCTGCTGCCTGATCTCTTGATTTCTGGGGGAAAAAATGTTCATTTATTTGTTTCTTGAGTATTTAGAACAGTTTTGCACTTCCTGTGTTTTAAAACACTATTGATGGGTTATATATTTCAAGGTTCATGCCTCCAACATCTTTTCAGTGGCTTGTAACTTTTATCGGTGTAAAATATCCCTACATTTCATTGGGTTAGCCTTGGATTCTCTTTTACCTGAGATTATCTGATATATGATAACACACAGCCACTTTCATATTGTTTGCAATTTCCTTATTAATATATTTTTTGGATCAAAACAAAATGAAAAGAAAACACCTATAATACTGGAGGGGCAAGTCCCTAGTTGGGACTCAAGTCTGAGCCCAGAGGGTTCTTGGCTTTGGGCAGGAAAGTATTCAAGACAGAGCCAGACAAAAGCTTAAAGTAGAAAAGCGGGTTTCATTGAGCAGGGAGGACAGCTAAGAAAAGCCACTCCACAGAGTGACAGACTCTCCTCATGAGAGGAGGAGAGACCCCGACCAGCTCCGGAGGTTGAGCTTATGTCTGTTTGGAGTTGCTGTGGAAAATTGGTGGTATGGGGAAATAGAGAGTGGAAAGAAATGTTAGGTTAACTTTAAGGTGTATTTTGTGGCCTGTTTTCCCTCCATGGTGTAGACAAACAATATGGTACAACGAGTGGCTGGCTATTCGGCAACCTTTGCGGGAGTCTTCTCTGTACGGAGGCTCTCAGCGGGCAGCTTGCTTCTCTGGTCAGCGGAGTTCTGTGTCCGGCAGCACATAACAGGCCCCAATTTTACTTTGACTTCAGTTGCTTTATGCCCGTCTCCTGTATTACTTAGAAATTACAAAAAATGAAATTTCTTAACCTGTTGCTCTTATTGGAATGGAATGTACTTGCTAGAATACTTGTAAAGTAGTAAACTAATTCCATTAACATTACTATTGAGTTTTGTGAGTGCAGAAAAGTTTTTCAGGTTTTACTGATATCTTATGGGAACAAAGGCACATCCTGCCTGCTTGAGATTGTGTTCGAGAACTTCTAGATTATCAGAATTATGTAAAAGCCAGCACATTTAATAGTAAATCTGATTTAAAGATATCACAACAGCTCTTAGCATCATCACTAGTGAGTATCTTAGAACTCACACCCATTCGATAATCTTTTTTTGTGCTCACAGGTATCAGGTCACCAGCTAAGTGTGGCTGAAGAGGTAAAATATTCAAAGCCCAGGTGCCATGCATGGTCCAAATGCTCCTTTCTCCCTGCTCCCCCCAAATTCACATGTTGACATCTTAAGCCCCAGAGCAGTGGTGTTCAGAGGTGGAGCCTTAAGGAGGTGATTTGGACCCGAGCCCAGAACCCCAAAATGGGATGAGTGCCCTTAAAAAACAGACCCCAGGGAGCCCCTCTCCCCTTCTACCATGTGAGGACACAGAGACAGACAAGGCTATGAGCCGGGAGGAGGGCCCTCCCCAGACCCGAGTTGGCTGGCACCTTAATCTCAGAATCCCAGCCCAGGAACGTGAGGAATAAATGTCTGTGGTTGATAAGCTCCTCACTTTGTGGTATTTTGCTGTAGCCCAAATGTACTAGGATGACCAGCAAAGCCTTTGACCTGATGTTTTTCCCACGTATTTTCAGTACATTCTCTGTTTCTGCTGATGTTACATCAGAATATACAGAGTGGAGGAGATACTTTTTTTCTGCAGACTTAGGTATCTAGGACGGTTCATGGCTGTAGACTGACATCTGGAGTACACGGGACCAACGCCCAGCACGAAACTGCCTCCCCAGTGATCTGCTGTGGGGCGTTCGAGAGCCTGGCCTGGTCTGTGTCTTTCCTCAACACTTATTTTACCTAAAACACTTTTTATTAGGAACATTTAAAAATACACAAAGGTGTAGACAAGTAAAAAGAACACCAGACATCTGTAGCTCAGCTTAAATAATTACCACTATAGAACCAATCTTTATTATTAAATTTCTTGAGATGACACTGAATAATAAAATTCAGCTTCGAGTTTAAAATTCTATAATGCATCATTTGTATATTTCATTGTGAATTTATCATCCAGAGTCAGATCTTCTTCTGTCAGCATTTAGTCAACCCCCTTTATTCTTTACTACTCTCCCCACCTCCTCTGGTGACCACCATACTGCTGTCCGGGCTTCCCGAGCCAGTCTTCAGTCCCCTCCGTGTCTTTACGATGTTCTCTCATGGAATCTGCCCTTTTAAATTTTTGCTCTGAGTTCCGACCGTGTTCCTCTTCTGTATCTTCAAGCTCACCGGTCCATTCTGTAGCGATGTCTATTTTACTATTCAGCTCTTTGCCTAAAATGTTTTACTTCAACATTTAAAATTTTCCAACACTCTTTCTGGTTCTTGGATTGTTCTTTTTCCAAATAATTCTTGTTTAATGATTGTAAATACTTCTGGAAGCTTTTGTAGGATACCAATTAGAATTTCCAAGTTGTCCGACGTTCCCTCCGGAGTCAGCTCGGTTTCTCTGGCGTCCAGTTTAGTTCGTTCCGATAGACCCTCCTGGTGCATGTGCAGATTTTTCTCAGACATTTCTTCATCCTTGATTGTCATGCAGTTAAAGGTTAACTGAAGAGACACCTAGGATATTCAAACCCTACAGAGTCTAAAGAAAAGGTCAGCCCTTGACCAGCTCCTAGGAAATGACCCCTGAGCCCTTGGAATGTCCTGCTTGGAAATAGTGCCTTTGTAGACCTGGAGCCGTGTGCCACTTGATAGTTGATGCCAACGGTGTGATTCACGGTGGGACCTTGGGTCACATTGTACCAGTTGGACCTCTGCCTGCTCTGGCTGGAATCTGAGAACTATGGTCAGTTACATGGGTACCCTGCGCCTATGGGATGGAACCCCAAGAAAAACGTCAGACACCGAGGCTCAGGTGAGCTTCCCTGGTTAGCAATGCTTCACGTGTGTTGTTACAAGTCATTGCTGGGAGAATTCTGCACTGACCAGCTGACTCCACTGAGAGAGGACAGCTGGATGCTCACACACAGTCTGTCCCAGAGTCTGTCCTCTGCACCTTTTGCACGTGCTGATGTTGTCTGTGTCCATTCACTGTAACGAACCGTAAGCATGAGTATAATACCTTGTTCGAGTTCTGTGAACCCTTCTAGTGAACTACTGACTTGGAGGGTGGTTCCGTGCAGCGGGCTTGGTTGTCCATTCACGTCTGTGATTGAAGAGACAGCTCGTTGGTATTGGTGCCCTGCTACATGCCCACAAGAAAGGAAAGATGTCTGCAGAGTCTGTGGAGTTAGTTGAGGCCAGATGTGTAACAGCAGGTAGACAGGAAGGCTAATAGCTTTCTGGTGATCAAAACCAGACCAGCTTTTATTCTGTGGGTCCCATTTTTTCCTTTTTTAAGAGAGATTTCTTTACTATTACTTATTTCTCTTTAGAGGGGAGGGGAAAGGAAGGAGAGAGGGAGAGAAATATAAATGTATGGTTGCCTTTCGTGCGTCCCCTGCCAGGAACTGGCCTGCAACCCAGGCATGTGCCCTGACTGGGAATCGAACCACGATCTTTTGGTTCGTAGGCCCGCACTCAATCCAGCCAGGGCAAGGATCATTATTTTTAACAGAGGTGACACAGTGCTCGTTCCCAATGAGCACTTAGTGAGGACTTTCCGGGGAGTTCTGGCTGTGGGCAGGTCCTTGTTCCTTCTTAGAAGGGGAGTGGGTAGAAAAGGGGGCAGTCAGGATCCCAGGGTTGAGAGAAGGGATTGTTTAGGTGCACTGGATCCCGGGTTATGACCCTTGATATGTCAAGGGGTGTAGCCGGGGACCCGGCCCCAGCAGAAACTCAAAGCTGGGGTTGCTGTGAGGTTGGATATTCCCAAAAGCTGTTGGACCCAGAGAGGTCAAGCTAGGAGAAGATGGCGGCCAGGGTTCGCGTCTTCCCCAGGGGGCGCCCCAGCCCGGCCCAGGGGCTGGCAGAAGCAGAAGGGGGCGCCAGGCGACGGGAGAGTAGGCCATGGGCGCTCCAGTCGCGGCACTGCTGCTGGTGCAGCTGCTGGTGCAACTGTTGGTGCCAGTGGAACTTGAGATGCTGGGTGAGCTCAGGTGGTGGCTAGGGGTGACCAGGGTAGGATGGGAGCGTGGAGACCGAGGGGAGTTCATTTTCTTTCCTCACTTCAGGCTCGCAGAATCAGGGCCAGCTGTTTCCAGGTAAGGCGCCCACAAACGCGTTTCCTGGCTCAGGGCACCTAGGTCTGAGCACAAAATGCACTCTATCTTTTCATCTCTCCCACCCCAGGTTTCGAGAACTCGTCCTGGCTCACACGTAACTGATGGGCCCCTGGGGGAGGGGTGGATGCAGACCACGTGGGGAGGTTCCCCAACAGCCCCTTCTCCGTGGATTGCAGGACCCCAGGACACCCGCGGTTTCCCTGGGGCTGAGGGTGGGCAGGCAATGCCTGTCTTCTGCAGCTCAGCTCCATGTCCATCTGTCCATTCCAGAGCCATGTGGCCACCAGAACATCTACCCGCGCGTAGTGGGCGGAGAAGACTCGGTCCTCGGGCGCTGGCCCTGGCAGGTCAGCCTGCGCTTTCATAAAGGCCACACCTGCGGAGGGAGCCTGCTCAACCCGCGCTGGGTGCTCTCCGCAGCACATTGCTTTGTAAAGTAAGTCCGGTGGCTGCGTGCGATGGCCTGTGGACAGGGCCCTTGGGTTTGCACCATGCATGTCTTATACGGATGTGACTGACTCTCGTGTTATCCTGAGCCCCAGGCCCCACAGCAGATGGCCGCGCCCATAGGAGCTTGTGGAGGACAGTGAAGGCTGACGTCAAAGCCCAGATTAAGTGTCAGCAAGGCCATGCTTGACCACTTGTGTCTGCAAAGCAGAGCAGGCCAGCAGCTGAGGGCAGCCAGAACCCAAGGGGGTTGAGAGGGAAATAGATAACCGCAAGCTTCAGCTGAATGCGACTTGTAATTTTTGCAGAAGACATGTTTATCATTTAGCTAGCCTGGGAACGGAACAGTCTTTGCCCGCAGCATTGCCCTAAGTTTGCAAAACTTCCTTGAGCTTTTTGTAAGCAACCCCTATAAAGTAAATGTGGAGACCATGTTCAGGGTCATTGTCTCTCCATCCGAGGACAATGCTGCACCTGGCCCTTGCTTTTCTTTTCTAAATGCAGGCAATGTTATGCTAGGCCAGTTAGCTGGAGCTCCCCTCGGACTTGTCAGCAGACTAAGGAAAAAAACACAGAGTAAAATTAAAATCACGAGCACAAGTCCCCCCACATTCCGTGTGGTGTGTTTTAATAGATTGAATGGATTCAAACCTTTTAACTCGGTAACTCTTGAGCTACTTGGGCAGGGTTTATAATAGGGTCTCTGGCTTCTTGTATATTCCTAATTTCTTGATTCAAGCAAATTAAATCTAGGCTTATATTGCTATCATGCCATATTCCTAGCAGGTGTGCTTTTCCCTCTCCCAGTTCCATTGACTGCTATTATAACGAGCTTGAGTGACACATATGTATTGGTATTTTGCATGACACTGCAGCTGCTGTCCAAACTGAATAGCTTGTATTTGATCTCCTAGACCTATTACTACAGCTTCTAGTGCATTAAGCTTAGTTTCTAGCTTAACATCAATTGCACTTGAGTATTTAAAGCCACAGAAGTGTTATGGGCTACGCTATTAATGAATTCAGCATTTTGGATACTTTGAGCAAGCGCAGCAGCAGCTGTGGCTGCTGATGCAAGGACTGTGACAAGGGTAGTAATTCTGGCCACAATAAGGCCGGGCGTACATTTAGGGCGACTCAAGGCCTTATGTAATTCTTCAAGCACTTGGAGGCCAGCATCCACACACCAAGGTCCAGTGATGTTCACTGGACATGTAATTTCATTAATAGTTCCCTCATCTGGAAACCAAGGGCAAGTCTGCTGGACAAAGTCCAGGAACTGCTCTAATTGAGAGCTACGCACCTTGGTTCCCCTCGCTGTAAGCATAGATTTAAGCATTTGCACATAAAGCCGCCTCTTGGTGGAGTCTGCATTCCCCATGCTTTACACCTGGCTAAAACAATATGCTCCTTACCTTACTTCGAGACTTGCAGTGCGCCCTCAGGAGCATCTCCTCACCTGGATGAAGGAGTACCCCCCACCGCTACCCCACCCCACCCCACCTCCCCCCACTCAGGGCCCTGTGTGGGCACCACCTGCCACAAACAGCGTGGGGTGGAGGTCCCTAAGTGGAGGTAACAGGAGATTAAGAAAAACACAACACGACACAGGTTAAGGAAAAGCGGGGGCCAGGCGGAACATTGTCCTTGGATGGAGTGACAATGACCCTGAACACGGTCTCCACATTTACTTTATAGGGGTTGCTTACAAAAAGCTCAAGGAAGTTTTGCAGACTTAGGGCAATGCTGCGGGCAAAGATTGTTCCGTTCCCAGGCTAGCTAAATGATAAACATGTCTTCTGTAAAAGTTACAAGTCTCATTCAGATGAAGCTTGCGGTTATCTATTTCCCTCTCAACCCCCTTGGGTTCTGGCTGCCCTCAGCTGCTGGCCTGCTCTGCTTTGCAGACACAAGTGGTCAAGCATGGCCTTGCCAGCACTTAACCTGGGCTTTGACATGGGCAAAGGTAGGTGAAAAATTGTGGATGGTATACCGCTGAGGGGCTGGCGCAAATGCCCATTTTTACTTTCACTTTGTGGGCTCTCATTGGTGACGTGCTTGATCCACAGAAGGAGGAACTGAAAGTAAAGAAATCTATAGCAGACACTTTGGCATCAAGAGTGGAAGGATACACCTCCCTCCAGCCAAAACCACTGCCGGCTCCAGCAGCATCCCTGGCCGATCATGGTGATGAGCCTCTTTCGCCAGATTATGCTAGGGAACTTGAGGAGGAGGCTCCAAGGGCGGAGAGGCAGAGAGAGGAGGATGCTTCTGAGGAGGAGGGAGATGATGATTTTCCAGACCCCGAAGATTCCCATATGCAGGGACCAATGCACCAACTTTTGGTGCTGCCCGTGAAGGACAAGGGCCTCTTTGACATCAGCTTTCACCGTCTTCCACAGGAGTCCCCCAAGTGTCCCTGCAGTGAATTTTGTTCAGTTTTTTTTTTTTTTTTGCAGAAAGGTCTTCCAGAACATACCCGTGTACATTTGTGTTTCTTTTCTTTTCTCTTTCCTGTTCTCTTCTCAGTAAATGGCACAACTAGCCTTCACCTTCCTCACCCACCTCCCAGGGGAGATGTGCGGTGGGTGGGAGGAATGGGCTGAGGTGGGTGCATGTTGGGCAGAGCCTGGCGGGGGGCAGCAGTAGCTCCTGCAGCTGTTTTGACCCTGCCCTGCTGACTGTCCCACTTTGGCCCCTGTTCTTCTGCTCATCATTTTTTTAGTTTGGCTCAGAGAGGTGACAGGCTGGCTGAGTGACTGGTCAGATCAGACCACAAAGAGAGGCACCCTCCTGTTCTGCCCCCATACCCCAAATGCCCAGGTTCTGGAGTTTTGGTTGCAGCCTTCTAGGCTCTCACCATTTCTTCACTGTACATGTCCCATAAGAAGAACTGTTCATGGTGTCCAGGATGAGCCCTAGTAGCTCCCTGGGCTGTCTTCTCTCAGGAAGTGGGTCCCAGGGATGCTCAGGTGGCCCGCACTTTGCTAAGGACGCCTAACTCCTCTCTCTTCCCCTACCAGGCACAGAGATGCCTCAAATTGGGCGGTCCAGTTTGGTGAGCAATCTTCCAGGCCATCTCTTTGGAACTTGCGGGCCTTCTACCATCGTTACAAGGTGCAGGACATTATTATGTACCCTGATTTCAAGGGGTCTTCATTCAACGACATTGCCCTGCTGAGGCTGACTTCCTCTGTCACCTACAATAAGTACATCCAGCCCATCTGTGTGATGGCCTCCTCCTTTGAGTTCCGGAACCAGACTAATTGCTGGGTGACTGGCTGGGGGCACATCCGTGAGAATAATGGTGAGGCTGGGGACAGATGGATGGGTAAGAGGGAGACATTATCCTCCTTTCCACCCACTTGAGCCCCCACCTTGGTCTTTGTACATTTGGTCCCCTCTGTGGGTCTGATCAGCATTCTCTCCCCACCTGCTGCCCACTCCTGCTCCCCCTGAAAGGCCAGGACTTTCTGCGCCCACGCTCAGTTCCCTGTCCCCCCCAAAGACTGTGAGCCAGAAACCAGCATGGAGGGGGCTAGTTTCCCCCCAGGCTGCATTCCCCAACCTGCAGGGGTCTGGGGATTTTGAGGGTGGACTTTTCAGAAAGGCCTTAGGCATTGGTTTGTTGTTTTGGTTTTGTTGTTGTTGTTTTTAATGCTACCCCAAAGATAACTTTATTGGTTTTTTAGAGTGAGAGGAAGGGAAAGAGAGAGGAACATCGATGTGAGAAACATCTTAGTTGCCTCTTGTACGCACCCCAACTGGGGATCGAACCTGCAGGACAACATTCCAACCAACTGAGCCGCCCACCCAGAGCTGGTTTTTGTTATCATTGAGATTCAATTCACAAACCATAAAGTTCACTGTTTTAAAGTATATACAATTCAGTGAGTTTTTGTATATTCACCATCACCACCATCTAAATGCAGAACATTTTCATCATCTCAAAATGGCATTCTATAACCATTAAGCAGTAACTCTCCATTACCTCCTCTCTCCAGCCCTTAACAACCACTAATCAGTTTTTTACCTCTATGAACTTACCTATTCTGGATATTTGATGGAAATGGAATCATACAATATGTGACATTTTGTGTCTGGCTACTTTTGCTGAGCGTAATGTTTTCTTTGAGTACATTTTATTGATTATGCTATTATAGTTGCCCCGATTTTTCTGCCCTTTCTCCCCCTCCAGCCTGCACCACTTCCTCCCACCAGTATTCCCCCCCCTCCTTAGTTCATGTCCATGGGTCATACATATAAATTCTTTGGCTTCTCCATTTCCTATACTATTCTTAACCTCCCTCTGTCTATTTCGTATCTACCATTTATGCTTCTCATTCCTTGTATCTTTTCCCCCCATTTTCCTCCCTCCCCTTCCCTGCTGATAACCCTCCATGTGATCTCCATTTCTGTGATTCTGGCCTGTTCTAGTTGTTTGCTTAGTTGTCTGTTTTTTATTTTTTATAGGTTCAGTTGTTGATAGTTGTGAGTTTGTTGTCATTTTACTATTCCTAGTTTTGATCTTCTTTTTCTTAGATAAGTCCCTTTAACATTTCATATAATAAGGGCTTGGTGATAATGAACTCTTTTAGCTTTACCTTATCTGGGAAGCACTTTATCTGCCCTTCTATTCTAAATGAAAGCTTTGCTGTATAGAAAAATCTTGAATGTAGGTCCTTGCCTTTCATGACTTGGAATACTTCTTTCCAGCCCCTTCTTGCCTGTAAGGTCTCTTTTGAGAAATCAGCTGACAGTCTTATGGGAACTTCTTTGTAGGTAACTGTCTCCTTTTCTCCTGCTCCTTTTAAGATTCTCTTCTTATCTTTAATCTTTGCTAATATAATTATGATGTGCCTTAATGTATTTCTCCTTGGGTCCAACTTGTTTGGGACTCTGATCTTCCTAAAATTCCTGGAAGTCTATTTCCTTTGCCAGATTGGGGAATTCCTTCTTCATTATTTTTTCAAATAAGTTTTCAATTTCTTGCTCTTCCTCTTCTCCTTCTGGCACCCCTATGATTTGGATGTTGGAACATTTAAAGTTGTCCCAGAGATTTCCAAGCCTCTCCTCATTTTCTGAACTCGTTTCCTTATTCTGTTCTGGTTGAATGTTTATTTCTTCCTTCAGCTCCAAATTGTTGATTGAGTCCCAGTTTCCTTTCCCTCACTGTTAGTTCCCTGTATATTTTACTTTATTTCACTTTGCATAGCCTTCACTTCTTCCTTCATTTTGCATCCATACTCAATCATCTCTATGAGCATCCTGATAACCAGTGTTTTGAACTCCACATCTGAGAGGTTGGCTATATCCTTGCCATTTAGTTCCTTTTCTAGAATTTTGATCTGTTTTTTCATTTAGGCCATATTTCTCTGTTTTGGTGCGCCTGTTACATTGTAAGGAGTGGAGCCTTAAGTGTTTGCCAACGTGGGACAATCCGCTTCTCTGGGTTGTGGAGATGTATGTGGGAGAGGGGTGGGGGTGTGGTCAGAGAGGGAACAGTGCCACTTGCTTGGCTCTTGCCCCCCTTTCAGCCACTTCCCTTGCTTCTCACAAGCTGATTGTGCCCTTTCAGGTGCTAATTCCTGGTTGAGTGGGCTTGTGTACATTCTAGGATACTGTGGATCTCTCCATAGGACTCTCCTGTGAGACTGGGAGTTCCTCCTGCCACTGCATCCCTCACAGATTTTTATAGCCAGAGGTTTTGAGACTTTAGTTTCCCATGCTGGAATCCTGGGTTGCATGGTCTGTCTCGCTCCCCAGTTGTATCTCCTGGCTTATCTGCGCTCGAATGTGAGATATACTAGTCTGCCAGCTGCAGCCTCACCACACATCGTCTCCTACCTGTCTGCCTGTCTCCGCCCCTCCTACCAGTCTGGATGAATATTTCTTCTTTATTCCTTGGTTGTTGGACTTCCATACAATTCAATTTTCTGGCAGTTCTGGTTGCTTTTTGTTGTTAAGTTGGTTATTATCCTTTTGGTTCTGTGAGGAAGTGAAGCATATCTACCTACACCTCCATCTTGGCTGAAAGCCTTCTCTTTCTATCTGCAGGACTGTGAGGAATAATTTAACAAGCATAATGTTTTTCAAGTTTCATCCACAATGTAGCATGAATCAGAACTTCATTTCTTTTTATGGCTGAATAATATTCCATTGTATGGATACATCATATTTATTTATTTGTCCATTGATGGACATTTCTGTTGTTTCTTTCTTTTGGGTATTGCAAGCAGAACTGCTACAAACATTAGTATACAAATTATTATTTGAATACCTTTTTCAATTCTTCTACATATATATTTAGCAGTGGAACTGCTGGATCACATGGTAATTCTACGTTTAACTTTTTGTGGAATCAACAATATTACACAGTAGTTACACCATTTTCCATTCCCATCACCAATAGATGAGGATAATAATTTCTCTCCATTTTCAACACTTGTTATTTTCCCTTTATTTATTTATTTTGCCATTCTTGTCAGGGTTAAGTGGTATCTCATTGTGGTTATGATTTGCACTTCTCTAATAACTACTTATGTTGAGCATCTTTTCATGTGTGTGTTGGCCATTTGTATGTCTTCCTTGGACAAATATTCAAGTCCTTTATGTATTTTTAAAATGATTTATTTTTGTTATTGAATGGCAATTGTTATTTATATATTCTGGACACTAAACTTTTATTAGGTATATGATTCACAAACATTTCTCTCATTCTGTAGGTTTGTTTTCATTTTCTTGATAGTGTCTTTTGATGCACAATTTTAAAAAATTATGAAGTTTAAATTTTATATTTTTCTTTTCTTGCTTGTGCTTTTGAGGTCAAATCTGAGGAACCATTGCCAAATACAAGGTGATGAAGATTTACCCCTATGTTTTCTTTTAAAAGCTTTATTGTTTAAATGCTTATATTTATGTCTTTAATCCATTTTGAGTTGATTTTTGCATATGGTGTGAGGTAGGGGTCCAACTTCATTCTTTTTCATGTGAATATCCAGTTGTGCAAACACTTATCATTGAAAAAAAACTATTCTCTCCTTCATTCAGTTGTCTTGGCAACTTTGTGAAAAATGGATTTATCATAGGTATATAGGTTTATTTCCAGACTTGCAATTCTATTCCATTGTTCTGTATGTTTATCCTTATGTCAGGACCTCATTGTTCGGTTCCTGTAGCTTTATAGTATGTTTTGAAAATGTATGAGTCCTCCAACTTTGTTCTACTTTTTCAATATTGCTTTGGTTATTTGGGGGCCTCTTAATATTCCTTATAAATTTTAGGATCACCTTGTCAACTTCTGCTAAAAATCCATTGTAACTTGGATAGGGATTACCTTGATCTGTAGATTGCTTTGGGGGAAGATTTTTCGTCTTAATAAGTCTCCATTCCATGAACACAGGATATGTTTTTATTTAGTTAGTTCTTCTTTAATTTCTTTCAGCAATGTTGTGTAGTTTTTTTTGTGCCCAAGTCTCTCATCTCTTTAGTTAAATTATTCCTATATTATTCTCTTTGATGCTATTTTATATAACATTTCTTTTTAAATTTTCTTTTGGAATTTTTCATTGGTAGTATATAGAAATATAACTCACTTAAAAAAGATTTTATTTACTTATTTTTAGATAGAGGGGAAGGGAGGGAGAAAAGGAGAAAAAATCACTGTGAGAGAGAAACATCAGTTGGTTACCTCTCATATGCCCTAACTCGGAACCGAACCCACAACTGAGGCATGTACCCTGACGAGGAATCGAACCAGTAACCTTTCACTTTGTGGGATGACACCCAGTCAACTGAGCCAAATTGGTCAGGGCAGAAATGTAAGTGACTTTTGAGTCTTATCTTGGATACTGCAAATTTGCTGAATTTGTTTATGAACTTGTCCTTTTTTGTGTATTCTTTATAATTTTCTGTATATAAGATCACATCATCTGTGAATAGAGATAGTTTTGCTTCTTCCTTTCCAATGTGGGTCTTTTATTACTTTTTCTTGAGTAATTGCACTGACTAGAACATCCAGTAAAATGTTAAGTAGAAGTGGCAAAACCTGGAATCCTTGTCTCGCTCCTGATCCTAGGGCTAATGCTTTCAGTTTTCCCCATTTAGTGTGACATTAACTGAGGGTTTTTACATATAACTTTTGTTATGGTGAAGAAGTTCCCTCTATTCTTAGTTTATTGGGTATGTTTATAATAAAAGTGTGTCAGATTTTACCAAATGCTTTTCCTGCATCAGTTAAGATGGTCATGTGTTTTTTTATGTCATTCTGCCATTGTGGTGGCAGGTATGTTATATTGGTTGATTTTC